TATATGAAAACATGTAAGGGAAGGCAAAACAGGGTACCTAAGAAAAACTTTGTTAGCATTATGTAGGTATAGTTGGAACGTTCAAAATTGGCATAGTCTGCAATAAAATTGACGCATTTACAGTAAAAGTTCCTTATTCACGGTTTCCTTATTCGCGGGCGAAAAAATTGCAACCTAGTTTCTGTATTCGCGGTTAAAAACTTCATTATTCGCGGTTGTAATCGGTAAACAGAAAAGGATTCGGTGTCATTTATTAAGGGAATTGGGCGCAATAAACCGCTCGTGCCTCGTGTGAATTTTTCCGAAAACATGGGTTTCTATTCTTAACATTGTAGTTTGACGCTGCGAGAGAAATATCTAATCTTTTGTATGGTAGCAGACAAAGGTTCACACCAACTCGGTACGTTTTTGGTTTCAAGTAATAAGGTAATTAAAAGCTTTTACAAGTGCTTAAAGTTGATGTTTCTTGTAGGACATGTAATTTTAATAGAAATTAAAAAATTAATAAATGGCTTTCAACAAGATTTAGAACAAAGCTGTATGTATCTTACTACAAAATTTCAAACCTCTGTTTTAAATATTAAACTCATGATATCTAGAACCGATAAGCATGTTTTTACTCTATGGCGCGTGTACAACTGAATCCCCTTAATGTATCGGCATCTTTTGAATAGAAATAGATTCGGTGTTATTTTTCACCGTGTCAGCATCAATTGAGTACTATTGGCTCGTGCCGAGGCGACTTTTATAAAAGATATAACCGAGTGGACTAATTTCAAAATTCAAAACAAGAAAAATCACTAAATTTTTTGAACTCTTGCCTAAAGCTGATTATAAAAAATATTTAAAAAGAATAGTTTGTCTCTATATTTTTTTAAATAATTCTTTTAGTTAGAAATTGGTCTATTTACTGGCATAAAAATTGTCTTAAATGATGAAACGTGAAGATGGAATTCAGTAAGAAATAGGCGAGATAGGACACTTCTCAGGCACGAAGGTCCAGTCAGAGGCATATTAGAGGCAGAAACGGTAGTTAGGAGGGGTAGAGGTAGACCTAGATTAGATTACTGTTCGCAAATAATTAAAGATGTGGGATGTTCCAGTTTTAGGGAAACGCGAATATTAACTTAGGATAAGAAAAGGTGAAAGTGCGTGTCCAACCAGTCTTTGGACTGATGACCTTATAATGATGATGCGAGCTTGTGATGACTTTTAAAGAAAATAGTGTCGATTGTTGTGAGAGTTATGAAAACTTAAGAAATTCTCTTCGTCTAACCCATAGATTGACCGTTTATTTAACAAATTAGTGCAAGGTACTTGAAAGGTGTAAAAAAAAATAGTTTGTCTCTATATATTTTTTAATAATTCTTTTAGTTACAATTTGGTCTATTTACTGGCATAAAAATTGTCTTAAATGATGAAACGTGAAGATGGAATTCAGTAAGAAATAGGCGAGATAGGACACTTTCTCAGGCACGAAGGTCTAGTCAGAGGCATATTAGAGGCAGAAACGGGCGTTAGGAGTGGTAGAGGTAGACCTAGATTAGATTAATGTTCGCAGATAGTTAAGGATATGGGTTGTTCTGGTTTTAGGGAAATGCGAAGATTAGCTCAGGATAGGAAAGAGTGGAGGTACGTGTGCTACCAGTCTTAGGACTGGCAACCTTATGATGATGATGAAGATGATGATGAATATTAATATTATGTTCTTCAGTATGAATATGTTGGACAACACTAGACTTTTCCTTTCTATCAAACTGTGCATGAGCTAAATGCTCCTTAAATCTAGTTTTGATTGAGCGTCCAGTTTGTCCAATATATTTTTTACTACAGTCATTACAACTAATTTCATATATCCTCGACTTTTCTAAGAAAGGAATTTTATCCGTAGGGTTACCAAGGAGAGTTTGAATGGAGTTGCCATTTGAACTGTAAACCATTCAAACTCTCCATGGTAACCTAAGGATAAAATTCCTTTCTTCGGCGTTGGGGTTTGAGCTATTTTGTTTGTTCTACAACAACCAAAGTTTTTCCAATCTTCGTAATTCAATATGTACCTGATTGTATTTTATTGTGTGTTTATTGTACATGCAGACATTTACATATGTATATCGTGACGGTAGTCGTTATGATTCATAACGTGCAAATGCGATTAAGCATTTTCCAACGAGCAATATGTTATTTATTCTGCTGTCAAATGTATCATTCCTTCTGATTTACAATTGAAATTTGAAAATGGATTTAATTGTGCTTTATGCTGCTGGAGAATACCGAGGTAAATTTGGTTGTTACGTGTCTCCCTAAGCTATTTCTCATAATTACCGCAGTTCAATATAGCCATCGTAGATCATCCTCGACTGACCTTTTGTCGTGATACCATTGGGGATTAGCTCCTGGAATATAAATGAACGCAACCATTGGTTTTGACATTCTCGCGGCGGTACTACGCTTTCAGTAATTTGCTGGATGATATTCTCTGATGTTGTGAGTAGACTGGAGACTCCTAAGTAGTTCTTATGATAGCATATTTACAAACATTTCTACATAAAGTACCGTTTTTACAAAATTACCACATTGTTGAAGGAAAAATTTGCCTAATGCGGGGATTATTTTTTACTTTAATACAAGAGTGCTGCTAAAGTTGGGTGATTATTGAATTCAACAATCGGTTATTACGATTAATCGATTATATTATCAGTAATAGTCCACAGATAATACTTCAGAGTACTATCTACTGCCTTTTTCTCTTCCGTTTCGTCTGTTTCTCCCCAACCAATCACTACGGAAGCTAAAGAGATAAACGATGACTTCATACTCTGTATACTATTGCAGTCCATTTCAATTTGTTAGAATTGTGACCTTGAAGAAACGTGCGCGAAGATAGAAAGAATACACACTAGTCGTGAGCAAGACAGAAATAGTTGGAACAAGCTTGAACGAGCAGAGCTCTTGATGGGCGGTCTTAGAGATCGGCTAGAACTGTACAGTACTAGACGAAAATGTTTAGCAATTTCTTAGAACAAAAATGTATATAAATTAACAATAGAAAACAAAGCAAAAGTTTTATAGGTGCGTAGAAAGTTAAGTTAATTCACTTGTCATTATTTATGGCTAAATATGCTTTTAAATAAAGCATATTCTTAAATTTTAACGAGGCAGTTCAAGTAGTTTTGCAAATGGTACTGTACACTTTTGTCTAGTTCTCGCTTGATGATCGGTGGAAAAATGAGCTCCGCAGACAAATATGATTGAATTTGAAAATATGCTACGGCGCATCCTAATAAAGGGAAGAGGCATATCTCCAACTTCTTGAAACGAACAGTAGTAAGTTACACATATGGTGTTGTGGGCCTGAGGTACATAAAACTTGTTAGGGGATACAATGTTATTATCATCACACATTTCGAATGGCTATACATTAGATCAAAACACATCTTAAATGACCGTTCCTAGTTGGGCTTGTGCGTGAGTTGCTTCCGAAATTCGATGTTATTTGTATTGAATCGATTTGTTTGTTGCCGATATTTAATTCTAACCTCCAAACAAAAACGTCATGCTAGCACCTTTTAGTTATCAATTCACCACTATATAAACACGTTGTCACTCCTTCGCTCTCTTTTCTTTCCTTTGTATTGCTTCGAGCTCGTTCTTCTATTAATCATTCCTCAATCTCGGGACAACTATCTATTTATAGAGTCTCACCAAGTTCTAAAAAGATCCAGTATATGTCGTCTAGAAATCTAGAAACCTAGGAGTTTCGCTAGATTGTACAATTTTACTTGGGTGCGTTGTTCTCTCTTCCTTTTCTTCTGATTCTTCTTTTGGTATTGACTTCGAATACCTCGAGCCGCTTCCACGGGGGTAGTCCTTTGAGTGGTTCTAGGAGACCTCGAGCAGTTACTCCACTAGCTGATTTTGAAGAACCTCGAACAATTTTTGGAGATTATCCTGTTGCCGATTTGAGAAACCCCCAACAATTTTGCGAGGTTATCCCTGTTGATTGTGGCACGCACAGTTGCACGTCTTTTCAGTATTGATATTCCAAACTATCACAACCTAACCTAACCTAACCGCAGTACATATCTAGTCCAGCTATACATAAAAACTCTTTCTGATTGAAAGGCATCTGAGGCATCATTCTACGTAACTACCTTCCTTATTTGTGAGAAATAGGTCTAAATTCAGAAGTTTTAGGGTAATTCTTTTTCATCAAAACAGGCTTAGTTTAAATTACTGTTTACAAGTAGTGAAGAATGTGGATGCTGTAGTTTTTGGGGAAATGTGAAGATTAGCTCAGAGTAGGAAATAGTGGAAGTGCATAGCCAATCAGTTTTAGGACCTACAACCCTATGATGCTCAATTTTAGTGACTGGAATTTACCTTCTGTGAAAATTATAGCTGTATCATCATAATGTCATCAGTCCTAAGAGTGGCTGGACACGCACCTCCACTATTTCCTATCCTGAGCTAATTAGAACTTTTTTGAACAGTAATCTAGGTCTATCTCTACTCCTCTTAACTCCTGCTCCTGCTTCTAATATGTGTCTGACTAGACTTTCATGCCTGAGAAGGTGTCCTACTAACCTATCTCGTCTATTTCTTATTGACTTCCATAAAGTCCTCTGTTCTGCTATTCTTTCTAATACCTCTTCATCTATAACCTTCTCTATCCTCATCTTCCATAATTATAGCACAGAAATAAACATTTACGTAGTGGGTTATTTATCATTACCTACAGTAGTTTTATTATATTTTGTTAATGCATTGATTTGATTGACTTATGTTGTTGTTCATTTACTTTTATTTTTTTAAAAACAGCTTTACGCTTAACGTATTGTATCCCTAAACTACATGTTTATTTTTACCCGCTGTTCTACCCAGTATTTTTCTACTGCAATAATAACTTAGGTACTTGCGGATTTCGCTTAGCCATCCAATACATTTTGAAATTCTAATTAACTTTAACTGGTAAGATAGCTATTAAAATGCAACGTTCGTACCTTTCTCTATCTCCTTAGGCCCGCTCCTGAATATAATTGGTTTCCCATCTTCACGTTTCCATATTATACGGGGCGTCGGTCGACCGCTGGCTCTGCAGGAGAGACAAGCATTTTCTCCTTCCATGGCTGATACGTCGCCACTGGTATCTTCGCTTATGATATCGGGTGAAACTGAAACAAAAATAGCATGTAGACATGGGCGTACCCAGGGGGGGGCAGGGGGGCAGGGGGGGCAACAGCCCCCCCTGAAAATCTCGCAGAAAATGTATGAACTCGCCTAATCACTAATCGAAGTGTAAACGGGGCCTTATATGCTCACTTTTGAATAAAATAGTATAAATCGAATTAAACAATTAAAATAAAATAAAAATGCATAGTCACATTTACTTTTATTTATTTAAAGGATGTTTAGGAGGTACAATCAGAGAAAAGAGTACATAACATTAGAAATTCGTGATTAATTAGGTTTTGCAGCATATCATGAGGTAAATAAATACTATCTATACTAAAAAAAAAGTATACGATGTGAGAGAAAATTTCGAATTTGACCGAAAACTTTGAATAAAATAAGAAATAACGAATAATATGGAAAATTTTTTAACTGAATTTTGACAGTGAATATGCCTTGATTTCAACTTCGAAACAAAAAAATATTTAGTTTCAATCT